GCAAGAATCATTCCCATCCCCTCCATACACAGAGCAGACAGGGATGGGCAACATGGACATTGGCTACCCAAAAAGGTGGTGGTGGGGGGCTACAAAGGCAAGAAGTGACTGGCTTACAAGCTTTCAAGAGGGACTCTAGATGCAGAGGGTGTGGAGAAAGGTAGAAACTCCCCTGAGTGGAATCCAATCTGTCTAGGCAGGGCTAATGAAAGAAAATGCGGATAAGTCTCTTATGATACAATAGTGAATAATTGTTATCAGGATTGATTGTGAGGGTTGGAAATGTAAAGGCAGACATTTTGTAGCAAAGACGGGAGTGATTAACTTTGCAGTCTAGGAGCAGAGGTCCCTGGGACCATCAAGGAAAAAGAGCAGAGAGCAGGACCCTACCCAGAGAAGCAGTGACACCAGAGATGGAGGCAGAGACAATGACGTGGAGAGATGGAGCAGCTGGGGACTTCAGACCCAGAGATAGAGAGGGGCTGTGTACTGACGAGTATGGGGCAGGCTTGCAGGGTATATACCCTTTGGTTGGTTGATGATGCATGATAGGGATTGTAACCATGGCAATGAAAGGATATACGATAGGATGAATGTAAAATTAATGTTCTCCCATGTAACCTATCACATAATTCACAATAAAACATTTTTTTAAAAGTAATTATTATTCTTCTGGTTAAAGCAAATCAAAACTTGCAGTTCATACCCGCTAAACCAAAAACAAAGTTAGTTGTTGTAGTTGTCACTGACATCTGGTGAGCCCACGTGTGCCAGTATAACTATGATTCATAGAGACTTCAATAGATGATTTTTTTCAAAAATAAATTGCCAGGCCTTTTTTTCTAGGCATCTCTGTTTAGACTCACACTTCTAATCTTTTAGTTAACAGTCAAGATTTTTCTACCACCCAGGGCCCCCTCATATTCACATGGCTAAAATAAAAAGCAGATAATAAGTGTTGTCAAGGATGTGGAAATTGGACCCCTCATACACAGCTGGGGGCATGTAAAATGCTACCTTTACTTTGGGAAACTGTTGGCAGGTCTTCAAAAGGATAAACATTGTTACCACCTAACTTAACACTTACACTCTCAGTAATATATCCAAGAGAAATGTCTGCATAAAAACGTGTACATAAATGTTCATAGAAGCATTATGCATAATAACAAAAAGGTAGAAACAGTCCAAATGTCCATAAACAGTGCCTATTTTATGCAAAGTCCGTTTAAACCACAAAGTTGGCAGTTCAAGCTCACCAGCCGCTCCTAGGAAATCCTATATAGGATCGCTATAGGTAAGTACTGACTCAACAGCACTTAACAACGACAGCATATCTATATAATGGATTATTATTTAGCAACAGAAAGCAATCAAGTATGAATACATGCTACAACTTGGAAGGACCTTGAAAACATTAGGCTAAGTGAAAGTGGCCAGGCACCAACATCACCTACTATATGACTCCATTTACACAAAATATCCAGAATAAGCAAATCTAGAGATAGAGAAAGGAGTTGACTAGGGCTGGGAGCTGGCTGGGGCTTTAGGAAAATAGTGATTGGCTAAGGCTGAGGGCTAGCTGGAAATAGGAAGTAACTGCTAATTGGCTATATTTGGGAATTGATGAAAATGTTTTTGAATTAGATAGTGTTGGTGTTTACACAACTCTGTCAGTACACCAAAAATCACTGAATTGCACATTTTAAATGAGTAAATTGTATGGTATGTAATTAAGTCTCAATAAAACTATTGTATTAAAAATAAAAGCTAGAAACTGAGTACAAAGTAAAACTACTAGTCTATCCCATGTCCTTGTGCATGAGAAAGCATAACTGCAAAATTGACAAACCCAACCCAACCCAAACCCATTGCCGTTGATTCAATTCTGAATCATAGTAACCCTGTAAGACAGAGTAGAATTGCTTCACAGAGTTTCCAACACTGCCACATCTTTCTCCTACAGAGCAGCTGGCAGGTTCAGACTGTCAACCTTTCAATTAGGACTCAAGAGCTTTAGTCACTGCATCACTTTGCAGAATTGGCAGAAACACAAAGTTATCTAATTATTTTAAAAAAGCATGTGTCCGAAGGAAGAAAGGGAAATGATCTCTATTTAACTGAATTTTAAAAGATAGTAGCTGTGTTGGGGTCATATCCCAAATACATATTAAGTTTTGCATATCAATAAAATTAGACCTTCTCCTCACCTAAAAGCTATCAGTTCCAAAAATAAAGGACCTACAGGAGAGGTAAGATAACTTAAGCATAAGAATTTTAGGATACTTTGGATGCATGAACATTATTGCATCCCCAAATCACAAAATAAGGAGATTTGAGTTATTTCTAAAATGTATGGTTTACTAAGGTGAATTAAGAAAATTTATGTTAAATTTAATTTGAAAAGGCCTTCAAGTTCTGAAGTTACTCCTGCAGAGACTAGGGTTATCGCTGTTTGAGATTCAGACAAGAGTTTCAGAGTAACGTGAAGGGCTCGTTTTGCTGCTCAATCATGTCCCTCTTTATAATGCATCACTTTATAACGGGACTGTTATGGATTGAATTTTGCACCTCCTACACACACACAAATGTGTTACAAATCCTAACCCTCTATCTGTGGTTATAATTCCATTTGGGAATGAATTTTCTTTGCTATGTTAACCAGACAGTAATAATGTAGGGTGTGTGTTTAATTCCATCCTTTTTTGAGATATAAGCAGTAAAAAAGCAGAGATGGGGTAAGAGAGAAGCCACACCACATGAAGACCAACAAAGAAGCAAGAAATGAGGACCTTCTTCCTTTGAGCTGACAGTCATGGCTTCTGTTACTGAAACACTGGGTAACTAAGACAATGACTCTCAAGTAAATCAATGTAGACTGTGATTAGAGTCAATAAAGTCTCTTAATGTGGCAATATGTTGGATGACAATATGGAACTTTCTTGGCTGTTAGCAGATACAGCATTAACACATTTTTGGCAACAGGGAACAATTTCCTTTATATTTTTTTATCTTTAACTTTGAAACAGTTACTAAACCCTTCACTTGTACCATGTCCTAACCAAGCATTGTTTGTATGGGAAACCAACTTACTTCTTACTTTAAAAACAGTCAAGCCATTAATTGATCCAATATGTTGGCATTTCTGGAGAACCCTTTTAGACAGGAACAAATGATGCCTCTTCCTTTATGTTAAAAGAAACTGAGTTTAAGATTTCGGGCATATTGCACTAAGAACACTTAAAGAATTACGCAAAGTCTGTTAACAATCATCTTGCAGTTTAAAGAACCAAACCAAAAGAAAACAAAAAACCTTCGCTCTGCACCCATCTAATGTTTAGATATGAAAGAATGTTTATTTAAAGATATTTCACATGACTTAAAGTGCTCTTTCAGAGTCCTTAAAATCTGTAAGTGTCATAACGTTTCAGTAGTGCACCTATGTTTCAACTCAGAGTACAATCTTTTCTCCCTAGAAAATGGTTGAGCTCAAGAAAATTTATCAAATATTTCTAAAGTGCTATATTGTAACTTTTCTAAGAAGTTAATGACTTTTCCTTCTCTTCATTAATTTATTGAGGACATTTTTTTTCTGGCCCTGTGTTCTTGAAAATTTTCCCTTACTTAACCAACCTGCTTGTGTTATGGTTGACATAATTCCTTGACTAAAACAGCTGGTGTACATTAATGGAGGCAAACCAACTGTATATTTCACTAATAGGAGGCAAGAGCTCTAGGAATGGAAATATGCATCCGAAGAAGAGAACAGACATCTCCCCACCCCACTCCTACAAAAGGAAAGTAGCCAAAGCTTGGTATTCCATTTCAGTAGCATAACTATTCGCTAAAATCTGGCTTTTCTTTCAAAGAAAATACTTTTTGCTTCATGATTTCAACCAGAAAATGTGCCTGTCATTTCTACTCTATTCTTCTTCAGGCTGGATGCTACAGGGAGCCCTCTGAGGAAGAAGAGTGTGCCCATGTCTCAAACACATGGGAAAAGGCAGCAAGCACGAATTCAGGGAGAGTTAACCTAAATAAATTGCTTATGCTTACAAAACCTGAAATTGCCCCACCCCCACCCCCAACACACACCCACACCCACTTTTTGGTTCCTATCACTAAAGCATGGCTTACGTCTGGCATACATACAAACATCGAGTTTGGTGTAAGAAATTATGAGTCAGAATCCATCCACTAGACTGTAACTTTTTTTGGGGGGAGGTGGGAGGAGAGTTCATGAATCCTGCGGTCATTTTTAATACCTGACAATTGGCTCATTCTCACCAAAAATAAAACGATTGGCATATTACCCTCCCAATCAAAAAAAGATAATACAACACTGGAAAAGTAGGCATAACTTAAAGCCACCATACTTGCTTGCTTGTTGAGAACTATTATTTACCATCGTGCCCACCTGTCAGTTTCTTTGATTGACAGCTTGACTGCGCACAGTACTTTCACATTTATTTATGACCAGAGTAAATTCGGGGGGACTAGGAGGGGAACAACTCAATCTCCCAAGAAGAGCTGAAACCTGACTTGAAGGAGCTGCCAGTGAGTAATCCTACCTTCCTCCTGATACACAAACGCCTACATCTGGGGTATATACCTGATGCACACTCCGGAGTGCAGAGCTACGGTATCAGTTCTACAGGTCTCAAACAAGTGTGGGACCGCTCACTAACCAAGAACAATATCCGCGCTCAGTATTCCAAACCCCACCCTTCAGATCCTCCTCAGAAAAGTTAGCCCACCTTGGCCAAGCCTCCCAGGATCAGCGGTCTGTCTAGTGGAATACACAATACAGTCATTCTCTTTGTAAACCCCCCAAGTGACTCGGAGCAAAACTTAACAGATCCAGGGAACTGAGACACATCCTCCACAAAGCAATGGATTCCCCCGGAAAGGATCTGGGTAGCAGTGTCTAGATTCTTCTCGGCACGTCCATCTCCACGACCTCCCCCAACCCCACCCCGCTCCTGCCTGCAGGGTGTGCTCACCTGCATGGGGCATGGTGATGGTCTCATTGGTATTGGAACCCACGTTGAAGATGACCACGGCAGAGGCATTCTGGAGGAACGCATTCCGGATCTTATCCCGATAGGTACAGTTGCCCTTGGGGATGAGAGCTATCCAGTTTTTGCCCTGGATAGGGACTGCGAACTTGGTGTTGGGGTCGCAGGCCAGGCGGTCGTGGGCTGAACTGGCCATGACTACCTCCCCGCGGGCGTCCTGCTTGAGCGAGTGCTCTCCGTAGCGCCCGCACTCGGTCTTCTCCGTGTGCAGCTCCGCGCCGCCGCCGCCGCCGCCGCCAGCCGCCCCGACCACTGGGTCCAGCACCGGCTCGGCGTAGGTGATGTTCACGAAGGCGGTGTACCATTCCTCCTTCTCGGCCACGGTGAAGTCCAGACAGAGCAGATGTACGAAACAAAAGGAAAGCAGCCATGTTGAGAGAGCCAGACTGCGGCACGCTTGGATGAGAGACATTGCCATCTTTATCCGCCGGGGCCCCCTTCCCGCCTCCCGCACCCTCCCCCCGTCCCGTGCCTCCTCCCCACCCCTGGCCAACCCCCGACGGGCCGCTTCTCCTCCTCCGCCTCCTCTTCTTCACTCCCGGGCCTGAGGGGCCGCAGCCCGGACGCGCAGCCGCCGCGGGGACCGGATTCTGGGCGAGCCGGTGGCGCCGGCTCCTTTCTCTCTCAGCCCAAGCGAGGAGGCTGCATTTTGCTTTAACGGCGCCCGGGGGGCGCTGGAAGAAAGGACCCCCGGGGCTTGCTGAGGAGTTTGACAGGCAAGCGTCCTGCTCTTTCTCCGGGCTTCTCCTTCTTTCATAAGGGTGGCAGGGGGTCCAGGAGCTTGAGGGGTGGCGGCTTTGTACCTTCCAGCTCCGGCAGGGGGTGCAGGGGGCGGTTGCGGCTGCAGCTGCGGCTGCTCGAGACCCAAGGTGCTGCCGAGGTGTCCCGGCCGCTGGCGACGTGAGATGAGAGAAGAAGGCAACTGCGAGCAGGTCCTGCTATGGCCTCGGTGACCGCTACTGCTGCGCTCGCCTCCCGCAGGCTGTGAGCTGTGCGATCCTCGCCTCGCGGTGTGGCTGTGCCCAGGGCGCACACTCGCTGCCAAGGGGCTGGCCGAGGGGTATAGGGAACAATCGGGCAAAGAGGAGTACGCGGTCGGTGTGTAGGTCTATATATGTTTGTGTGTGTGTGTGATATGTGTGCGTGCAAGGAGGAGCTTAATGTGATGTCAAAGCTGGGCTTCAATTGCTTCGCTCCCTCAATCTCGCTTTATGGGCAGCAGCGACCTCTGCTGGATCTCAGATTCAACTCCAGAGTGCTACTTTGTCCAGGGGAGGGCAGCGGGGAAAGCGACCCCTTGACCCATGTATTTGGACAACTTTCGGCTCCTTTGTTGTTGTTGCTGTTAGGTGCCGTGGAGTCCGTTCCGACTCATAATGACTCTATGCACAACTAAACGAAACACTGACCTATCCTGCACCATCCTCAAAATTGTTACCTTTGAGTCCACTGTTGCTGCCACTACTTCAATCTGTTTCGTTGAGGGTCTTCCTCTTTTAATGGTCTTCCATTTTACTACGCATGATGTCCTTCTTCAGGAATTGGTCCCTCCTAATAAGATATCTGAAATATGAGAGACAACGTCTAGCCATCCTGGCTTCTAAGGAAAAATCTTGCTATACTTTATCCAAGACAAATTTATTTGTTCTCTTGACAGTCCATGGAACTTTTAATATTCTCCGACACCATAATTCAGATGCATCGATTCATTTACAGTTTCCCTTATTCTTTGTCTAACTTTCACTTACTTACGAGGAGATTGAAGATACCACGGCTTGGGTCAGGTGCACTTGTTATGCATATGGTAAATGTGTATGCTTCTTGGAGTCCTGGTGTGGCGCTGTGGGTTAATGCGCCGGACTGAAACATTGGTTTGAACCAAACGGTCCGGGATTCAATCTCACCAGCTGCTCCTCAGAAACCCTATACAGGCCCCTCAAGGGGTAGGCACATGTCAGCAACATAAGTACCATTTGCTGGAGGAACTGCAGTGTGCTCCCTATTACTCATTCTGTTGCTGCTTGGTGCTTTTCAGTCCGGTCCCACTCAAAGCCACCCTGTATAGGGTTTCAGAGGTTATAAATCTTTATGGGAGCAGAAAGCCTTTTCTGCCCAATGAGTGACCAGTGGGTTTGAACTGTCAACATTGTGGTTAGCAAACCAGTGCTTATCCTACAGTGCTACCAGAGCAGCAATTGCCCGTCCTGTGGTCAAAATATAAAGCTGGCAGAGAACATGGAACTGAATTTTAGTGTGCAACAAGCATCACTTAGAGTACTTGCAAGTTTCTAATTCAGAAGATGGGAGAGCCCTGGTGTCGTGATGGTTAAGCATTTCATTGGTAACCAAAAGGTAGGAGGTTCGAATCCACCAGTTTCTGTAGGAGAAAGATGTGGAATCTGCTTTTATAATGATTTACAGCCTTGAAAGCCTTATGGGACAATTTTACGCCATCCTATAGAGTCACTATGGGTTAGAATTAACCTGATGTCTACAGGCTTATTTTTAAAACAAGTTTTCAGGTGTTTGCTTATGCTTCCACTCTTGGAAAAACACGGATATAGGGTGGATATAAAAGTAGGTTTCTTTCCTCCCATCTGGAATCAAACATGTGGCATTTTTCCCCCCTTATAAAACAGGGGTTATTTAATTATTAGACAAGAAACTGGATAAGATTGTTCTCTGCTGTGTTTATTCTTGTTGTCATGACTGATAACAGAGGACTCACAGCATCAACAGGCAAGGGAGGTTTGTTTGGTTATTGTTTATGGTGTGTTCTCCAGTTGTGCATAGAGATCACAAGTAGTCAACAGAGAGTACAGTCCCTCTAGAATACTGCTCTTAAAACTGACACAGCAAAATCCTTCACCATTTAAATGCTTGATGGTCTTTAGTATCCCTTAACATCAATGACTTCTTTGGCTTGGGAAACCATTGATTTGAATATGTTGTTAAGTGCCATGGAGTCGATTCTGACTCATAGCGACCCTATACAGGATTTCCAAAGAGCAGCTGGTGAGCCTGAACCACTGACCTTGCAGTTCAAATGACTTTGCAGTCTGACGCATTAGCCCACAGTGGCACACCAGGACTCCTAATGTGAATACAGAGTCTCTAAATATATTTATGTGATGGTTCTCACTCATTCACATTGCACTTTGCACCCAGCAATCTTTCACAAAAACTAGGACCAAATTGGTTAAAATAAAAATCCCCTTCTTTTTTTGTGTGTGTGTGCCAGCACTTTAGTATGTTTACAGCTTTCTGTTAACGACTATCTACCAGCACAACTTCTCCTTTTCCAGCAACAGTTCAAACAGCTGGTGACTGTTTAGGATGAACAGAGAGTTTTAGCTAGACCCAAATTAGAAGCAGGCACAAAGGCAAACTACTTTGAAGAATTTGTCTCTATGGTATTTGCTATGTGATTTGTAGGTTTTCTTTGCTTATTCATTTTAGAAAATAGGTTTCTAGGCAATTGGGATAGTGCTTCTTTGCATTGCTGAATGCCAAGGAAGCAAATGTGGTTAGCTGCTGGTTTCAAGATGGTTCTCCAAACCTCTCTGTCTCACAGCAATTTTTGTGAGTTACAATGCTTGGTGAGTCTGGATTAATTAAGAATGTAGGACTACCACTTTCCATTGGAAATATTAGTACAGGGTAGTGTCTGAAGAGATGTCAGGACCAAGGAGCTAGGTACATGATCAGGTAAATTACAGGGACATTAGGCAGATAATACAAATATTAAGTATAATGGTAGGTGAGTTTTTTACTGTTGGAAAATCAGTTGTTGTCAAGTGGATTACAACTCATGGTGATCTTGTGTGTGTTAGAGTAGAACTGTGATCCATGGTGCTTTCCTTGGCTGATTTTTCGGAAGCTAATTGCAAGGTCTTTCTTTTGTGGAAAACTGAGTGGGTTCAAACCACCAACATTCCAATTTGTCGTCACACTTAACCATGAAAGAAAGAAAGCTCTAAAAACCCCAAGATACTGGATTTGACTTAAAAAGAAGCTTATTTTTGAAAATACGTATGTTTGTCATTCAAGAACAACCCCAGAGTTCTTTTGGATTCCATGTGCTGAACAAACAGAATAAAGCTGGAATAGTTTTAAAAACAGGATACACACACAAGGGGGCTTCAAAAAGTTCATGGAAAATGCATCTTATGAAAAAAACTAGTCACGAATCAAAAAATAACTTCTACACTGAAATGAACATATACTAACATGTGATAAAGAAGCTTTGGTGGTACAGTGGGTTAAGTGTGCTGCTAATCACAATGTTGGCAGTTCAAACCCACCAGCCACTCCATGGGAGAAAGATGAGGCTCTCTGTTCTAATAAAAATGAGCAATCTCAGAAACGACATGGTACAGTTCTATTGTGCCTTATAGGATTGCTATTAGTTGGAACTGGAGTCCTGGTGTGGC